TTTATCTGGACGGATACTGTCAGATGAATCCTGAGGGCTTTGCAATACAGAAGATCTGCACTGCTTAAATAATAATTCCTGGGGTAAAGCTGAAATAGGGTGTCAAAACTAGCATTCATTAGTATTCAGACAATTCTCAGTGCTCAGCATTCCTTCCATAGGTAATAAATGAGGAACTTACATGTGGGCTATTTACTAATAAAATCCCCAGCCATTTCTGTAGAATTTGCTTTACTACCCGATTATATTCATGTGATCCTGGGAAGGAAAGTTCAAGATATCCTTATTCTGGATGTTCTTTTCCTATACACTTCCTTCTGAGATCTGTGAATCAGAGGTTGCTTGAGCAGTGTTCCTCCTGAAAAACATTTGCAGTGCTTTTGATGCAGACTTTTTGCTTCATTGCCTACTCCACATCCTTGGCTGTAAAAACAATTTCTTCTGGTTTCCCCTCATACTCTAAGAATAATTCAGGACATAGGATATGCCAAGAGAATTGTGAAAGCCTGAACCAGGATTTTGTGGCCATGATTCTGCAAGTAGAGGCAATGACATTACTCCTGAAGTATTGCAGCTGCTAGAAAGTGTCAGCAAACAGAGAGAAAGAGAAAACAGCAGAGCTTCAGAGAGTCACCCATGATGAAAGATTAAAAGTCTTCTGGCTTTTGAACCAGAAGAGAAGTGGGGTTTTTGGCATCATCGTGAAAACTAAGGACAGTGTGAACTATAAAATACAGAAACGTGAAAGATCTCATTAACTTCATAGTCATTCACTTCATAGATCTCTAGCAGAGTCAAAAGAAGTAGTTACAACACATTTATCCCCAGATCTAGATGAAATATGGCCCAAAAGATGTGTTGTGTAGCCGGGATACAGAGGGGTCAGAGTCCCTTACAGTGACCTGGCACCAAAGCTCCCTTGGTACCCCTGTGTGATGCACCAAGAGGGAGGCAGCTGTCTTTGACCCCGCAACAGCTGAATGAAGGTGCTGGACTAATGGCATGACACTGGTGACAAGAAATAGCCCTCTGACCATAAAAAAGGCAATTTCAGCAGTGTAACCTATGAGGCTGGGAAGCAGTACCATGCCATGCCCCACTGCTGACAGGTGGGCTGCCTCTAAAACTATACTGTGCAAAATACTAGAGAATATGCAATCTGTAAGAGCCTGCTGCAGGTAGCAAGGCAGCTGACCTGTCAGATGATGGGGACCTGCAAAGAGCTCCATTGGTCTTATGCTTCTTTTCCATCTCTGATTTCTGCCCTGCTGATGTTTGAGCTCATTACTGTCCAGTCGCGTGGTTTGTTTTATAACCAAAGGGGACAGCTGAGTTCCTTCTACAGCAACACTGTTTTTTTTTTGTGATGCCAATGCCATGACCTTTATTCATGAAAAACAAATACGAATGGGGAAACCAGGGTGGAGCTCCATCAGAAATGTGATGTAAACAGCTGCAAAGATGTGGCTGTGCACCTCCAAAGACATTTCCCACCAGGTATGAATCTGAGTAACACGGACTGCAAACACAGCAGAGATCCTATCTGATATTTTGTTAAGCTAATTGCCTATATCTAAAAGCAAGGACTAATAAAATTGCCAAACTGAATTCTCGGTCTAATTAGACAACAATAGCTTTCAAAGGACTTAATGGAAACAAACGCCCATTCCAGGTACATGCTGACATTTCAGCAACCTCTTTCTACTGTTCAGGAAGGTATCAGGGTCCCTTCAGGAGAAGAGCTCCTTTTTGTTGTGAGAACACATTCTCCCCAGTACCCTTGAAATCTCATCCTGAAGCAAGTTTAAAATAATTCACGCTTTCTCTCTTACAAAAATATTTCCATATTTGAAGCAAACAGCTGTGATGCTGGTGGAGAGCGGCAGAAATGGGACCTGGAACAGGCTGCTGGTGCCCGGTGGGCAGGAGCCCACGCGTTGCTTCCCTGTGCCATGGGAGCAGCAAGTGGGTGCCTGGCAGGGAAAACACGCCTGGTACACGTGTGGTCCCAGTGAGCGTGTAGCTGCCAGACGGAGAGGATCCCGGTGTGATCTGGGTGGGTGGATCCCTGTGAGGCAAGCATCCCTGTTATCAGCACTGTGTGCTGTGCTTGATGTCACAGCTGCAGAGCCAAGTGGGGCAAAGTGGCTGCGGGCACCCCATAGAACTGAGACAAGGTAACTGAGGGTCCTGCGTTCGTTTTGTGACTGGTGTCATGTTAACACAGCTCTGTGATTACATGCTACGCTGTATGGACAGGAATTTTACATGAACTGTTAGCGCAATGAATTGCATCTAAGGGCGAGATTTAGGTTGGATATAAGGAAGAAGGTCCTTGCAAAAAGAGTGGTGAGGCACTGGCACAGGCTGCCCAGAGAGGGGTGGGTGCCCTGTCCATGGAGACAGCCAAGGTCAGGCTGGATGGGCTCTGAGCACCTGATGGAGCTGTGGGTGTCCCTGTTCATTGCAGGGAGGTTGGACCAGATGGTCTGTAAGGGTCCTTTCTGACTCTAATGATTCTATGATTCTATAGCTCAGTGGACATGGTGGTGATGGGTTGATGGTTGGACTACATGATCTTAATGGTCTTTTCCAACTTTAATAATTCTGTTTCTATGATGCTGAGGTGGATGTATGGCTCCTGGTGGGTTTTGTCCCACGCAGGCAGCCCCTTCTCTAACAGGCTCCATAACAAAAGCTTGAAAAAGATTGGAGCACACATCCTGCTCACTCCATCTTCTCGTCTCCTTAAATGGGTCGGTCTTTCAGTAGGTGGGGAGGAAACATCTCATAAAAACACCGTTGTCAAGGCTGCTTCTAAACAACAGGGCAGATATGCACGCCATTAGCATACAGGGACATGCAAGAAACTCCCTCAAATTCTGCCCTTGCTGACAACACCATGGTGAGTCACATTGGCGTGCAGCCAGGCCAGGAGCAAGCTGCTGGGAAGCACCCGGGCAAACTTTCCACAGTCGACGCCTGCCCAGGTCAAGAGCCAGCGTCAGGTATCCATGCAGGGATGCCGTGCTGAATGCTGCTGACTTTATTTTGGGCAGTGGAGATTCTGGCTGAAAGATCACTTGAGAGCGTGCCAAAGGCCCAGAAAAGGTAACTGCTTAGGAAGGCTCAAGGTCACCCAAGCTGCCCGCCTCTCCACAGTGACATCGCTGCCCTCTGGAGCAGCACTGCCGCAGCCATGGAAGCCCAAGCATCCTCCATGGGGCACGTGGGGATGGTTCCAAGTGTCTGCGCCCAAGGGCAGTGGGCAGGGACGTGCCAGGAGCTGTGTGACATTCCGCAGAAGGGCAGCACAGTGCTCTGCGGGTTAACCACGAAGCTCCCTGCGCCGGCTTCCCTGCCCCAGCCACCAGATGCAAGCAGTTTGTTTTGCATTTGGACTGGTAGGCTGGAAAACCAAAGTGCTGTGTTTTTAAGTTTATATTACATGCTTGCGTTCCAGTTCTGTTAATTAAAATCATGTAGCTGAATGAGCAGTCGCTTGATAGCTAGCAGGGTTTATTTTAAATTTTCTCTCTATTTTTTCTGGATGCTCGAGCATTTGATGCTCTTCCTCTCTCTGCTTGCAGCGCATTAATTCACCTAAGTAGAAACTCTATCTGTCTGAACCAGTAAAAGAGTGCATTTGGGAGCAGTTTTGTTTCTTATGGTATTTTCTGTTACTGCTTGCCTACAGCTGCCAATGTAATTTGTCAGAATAAACTAGGTACTTCAAAATCAGTTTTTATACACTCTTCCTAAGTGTTCCACCATCATTTGAGAGGGGAGGGAGCAGGGGGACCCCCCAGCAAATAGAAAGGAATATGAGCATGAGGAATATACTTGAGTGATCACACTTCTTTCTCTTTGTGGGTGTGATCCATCACCTTGTCTGGATCAGTGGGAGCATAGGTAGGCTCACCACCTATGGTGATGGTAACTCAGCACTGCCTTCCCCTGCAGTGCCCACTGTCACCTGGCACATGGTAAGGGCAGCTCAGCATGGTGACCAGCTGCAGATGGAATGGAAAGGGATCTGCACAGCAGCCTTAGACCCTGCTGACTTTTTATTGCTGTCAGTGCATCTGCCACAAGTTCTTCCCCATCTCCTAGCCTACGTCCTCCCATGACTTCTCATCTTTTGCATGGCCTTTGCAATGCCCCATAACCGCCCCAGCTTTGCAAGAACTGTTCTGCTTGCAAGGCTAAGGAAATCTGTGTGCAGGCAGAATATCAAGCCGGAGTACAGCGGGTGTTCAAAATTGTAGATCAGCTGTGTCATTGCAGACCTGTTCTGCTACAGGGCAAACAGCATCAGCTCCAAGCACACCTCGTGCCACTGGTGTAGTGCAGGTGCAGGACTCACCCCACCAGGGGAATGCTGCTTAAACTGCCCAGACTTACAGTGTTGCTCTCAGGACTGCAAACTCAGAGTGTGGACATGCAAAAGGCCGTGCCAACACAAGCACGACTTACTTGCTCTGCACACTGAGCTCCTTGCAGCTCAGCTCTGCACCCACATGCTTCTGTCACGCAGGAGTGAGCATCACCTTAACCCAGCAGAGCCCTGCTATGCAAATCTCTGCCTGCTCTGCATTGTGCAAAGTACTGATTCCAGAATTAGATCCAACAAGATGACATTTTTCTGCAGCAAGCACATTCAGACTTAGCCTTTTCAGGCCTTGTATCTCGGTTATTAATAGTATTGTTTGCCTTCTTTTGGAAAATTGAATTCATATGATAAAGAGGAACTTTATATATTAAATTCTGATGCACAACTTCTGGTATGAGTGCTCTTGCAAAATACAGAAGTGGAAAATGTAGGGTATGTGGTGGGAAGTTGTTTTCTTTTTTGTTTGTTCATTTGCTGCTGTTGTTGTCTTTTATTTTTGCAAATTTCATATGACAAAGCCAGCAAAGAACAATGGCAACATTTAACAGATCTATTACCTGTTGATCTTGTCTCATCCAATCAGGTGGCAAATTCAGGCAGGCATTGCAAGGTTTGATAAGAGCTTTTACGTAGCAATTATTTCAAGCAATAAAGAAATGATTAAAAGATGTAAGTAGTACATCTGGCAGTATACACATAGCTCTAGGTAAGCGTAATTAAAATAGAAGAACTTTCTGGGAAGTGCAGTCATTGGATTTCCTTCTGCAGCAGTAAGTGAAACGAAGAGCACAGACGTGGATTTTTGCACAGGACAAATGCTGCAGAGTATTTCTCAGGGACCCCTGGAAAAGAACAGTCAAACAGAAGCAACACATCCTTGTTGTACTTCTTTGCTGTGTCTCTGTTAAGAGTTACCCCAACATTTAGCATGTGGGACGCAGCTGAACGAAAATGGGTTTCTTGAATTTTTGGTGACTGACTGAAATCCACACACGTACCGGTTATTTTAATTTAAGGAAAAAGGATTTTGTTTCTTTATCCTGTTACATAACTCTGGATCTATTCTCCCTTGAATACACAAGTGTGTTTATCATTAATCTTAAAGGGAAACAGTCACCCTTCAAAACCTTTGCTGAATTTATATGTTTTTTAATGTTGGATCCCAAACGACCGGCTGTGAATTAAAGATGAAAACACATTGTTTATTTTCTAAATCAGATTACTTTAACCTCATTTTATGCACGGCTCTTTTACTGCTTTTCCCCAATAGCAACAGCGAAGGAAAAAAAAAGATCATTCTTTTGGACATGACTTCCAAAATGCAAAACATACAGCTCCTGCAGCACCCAGCAGAGCTGAGTCCCTGTTATTGCTTTTAGCTCACTTTTATGAAGCCGGCTGCCTTTCAGCTTGGATACATTCTTTAATAATACCTATAGCTTTCATTCTATGCCACATTCCACTCAAGGGTTTTAAATTGCTCAGGAGCTCTTGAAAATCCTATGGGCACAGTGAGCTTTTTTATTTCCTAATAGCTGTCAGTTAACCTGAGACACCAGTGTGACCACTGGCGCCCAGTTTGGTCCCTCTGGGTTTGCCCCTTGCTTTAGGAATCAGCTCCTGTAAAGGAGGAGGCATTTCTAGACCTGCCTGGTGTTTTGGAAAGGCTTCAGCTTTTCAGATTTGCAAAGTGCCTCAAATTAACAGGTAATTACCTCGATGTGTGGAAACGACCAGAAGAAGCAATCCTGTAATGGGCAAGCAGTTCCAAACATAAGCAAAATAGGCCACCAGTAGTATTAAATCACATTCTTAATAGTATGTAAAGCCATTGAGGCTGCTTTTTAAGAATTCCCGTGGCTTTTGGTTTCCTGGTGTGCACTGGTTCCATCCTTGGCAGATTCACATGATGGGGTGTACCAAAATCACAGGTCGTGCTTTGACTTCTGTTTGATATTTTATGTACGTATGATTTAAGGAGATAAACTAAGAAAAACTAACTGCCCAGGCTATATATAATTTCATCTAAAACAAATACAAACTAAAACTGCAACAACTGAGTGGGTTGCATGGATTAGTGAAATATCCCAGTACATAATAGCAACAGCAACAATTCTATTCCCCTGTTCAGTAATGCTTCAAATCTGCACTGCGGAGTCACTGCATGATGCTTAAATCTCCCACCAAATCTGCTACCCTTTTTTCAAGCTCATGGTTCTTTGCCACAGAGGAACCCTGAAGGCTGCTCTTGTATAGGGGTATTTACAGGAAATCTGTGTTTGGAGACTTGTTAATGCAGTGGGTTTAATCAGAGCATCTTTTTACCATTCTTACCTCTGTCCATCTTTACAGATAGTGAGTGCTCTTAAGAGTTCTGCCTGGAATAAATTCTTGCTTTTATAATTATTTTATTCTTAATCTTTATACGTAAAATCTTTCCAATCCTTGCAAAACCTGTCTCTTGTTCATGCCTTGGTCCTGAGTTACATTCCCCTGAGCAGGCACAGGATGAGAAGAAACAAGTTTTTTTTCCTTAAAAAGGAAATCCACTTCAATTTTAAAGGTTTGCTGATGAGCATATCTTAGGTCCTGGTGTGATACCCCCCCTCCATGATAGAAACATGATCTACCTGTGCCATACGCTTGCGTTACTACGCATCCATGTGCGAAATGAGGCAGCCCCATCACTGCCCCTTGAGACCTCCTTCCCATGGTGCAGACACAGCGAATCTCTCCCAACTTCTGTGCCATCTCAGTAGATTTCCACACGCCGGAGCCAAGCTGGGGATTTGGCCCAGTGTCTTTTTTAAAACCTGTGACCCAGACGTGGAGATTAAAGACGAGTTCTGTTATTGGATTAAACAGATACAAGAGGTGCTCACAACATCAGCACCTAACACCTTAGAACTCCAGACAGGAGATCTGCGTGCAAATGGGGAATACATTCTGTGGGAAGGAGGCAGAACACAAAGGAAGAGCACTGCTAAGCTGTGCCTTGGACAGGTGTGAAAAAACCAGCCACACTGGGTGACATGCAAAGCACAGCAGCGTTGTACCCTGGCTTTCCATAGCATCATACCACTGGATATGCTGTAGGCCTGGTGTACAAGTCATTCAGACTGTATTTTACCTGTAACCAAAGCGGTTTGGGCTGAATTTATTTCAGTTTGGAGGAACATTTTCATGGTGTGCTGTTGAAGGGGAGACGCTTGGCTCTGCTATTCATGGCACCATGGCGTATTGAAATGAACGGAACTGAGGAACAGAAATAGCAGTAGATTAAAGCCAGACCATCAGTAAAAGGACAGTAATTTAAGGCACTGTTTACATGCTTAATATGATGCACATGCTTACGCTTTGCAATTTGGGCTCTGACTTGTGATGTCGGTTACATAAGAGCTGGAGGAGGCATTAGTGGTGCCATTCCCCAAGCACTCTCCAAGCTCCATCACAGAAGTTGTGCTGTCTCGTATTGAAACAGCAGGCAGCGATGCACATATTTATGACACCGAAGTACTAATTAATATCATTGTTCCCCTCAGTTCCAGGTACTGTTTACACACTACTGATTTCAAAACAGCTTGGGCTGTTTTTTTTCCTTCCCCCCCGAGCAATTTTTTCCCCAAACACAGCGAGCAGCCATGTGCTGCGTGTGGCTGATTTATTTATTTTTTTTCTAAAGAACGAGGAACAACAGAACAAGAGAGAGCCAGAGACAGAAAATACAGGCTTTGATTCCTCTAGAGAGCTTGAGCAAAATGTTCCGCTGCTGTCAGTGGTACAGCTGTGCTGGCAGGAGCTGCGGTACAGATGAGGCTCCAGCCACTACTCGCGTTTTGCTGCCGCTTCCTCATCGGCATCGAGGCATCCTCACTGCAGTGAGCAGGTGGGAAATGCTCTGCCTCGTTCCCCAGCACGGCCGTGGCTGCCAGGGTTTGCGGTCCCCCGTGGAGTCTCACAGGGATGCGCGCGGATGCTGAGCTGCAGTGCAAGAAACCTGATTCATAAGGCGTAGGTGGCAGCATGCACTACATCGTGTAATTAGTTTAAACCAGTCTGTCAGAGCAGATAGCTTTTCAATTAGCTGAGTCTATCTTACACCTGTATCTATCTTTCAGTTTGAGGTCTATTCATTTTTCCCACCAGCTCGGTGCTGGGAAATCAGGGAGTGCTCCGAGTTGTGATGCTGTGGCTGTGGCACGCTGCACCTGGTGTCCTGCCTGCAACCAGTGCATCTCCCCAAGCTTCTGCACGAACCAGCTTTTCCTAGAGATGTCCCTAAGGCCGATGTGATGGAATTTGGTTCCCTCACTATCCGGGCGGTAGGTGAGGGGCTCCATAGGTGTCACTCACCGAGCACCATCCCGGTGGTGTGGGAAGTTCGGGTCAGTGTCTGGGACAGCCTGACGGCAGTGCTGGCGGGAATGTTTGTTCCTTCTGGCTCAATCCCTGCTGCTCGCAGCATACGAAGTTAGCACAGAGGGCTCTCTTTATCTGCTGCTCTGCAGCGTGAACGGTATTTTACAGTGCAGTGCATCTCAGTTCTTTGCAGGGGCTGTATGAAAATGCTTAGTGAGCCTACATGCTGCCGTACCCTTTATTCACAGAACGACAGTAGATGAGGGTAGAAAAGCAGAGAGACATCTCTGAGCCACATCCCCGTCAGACTCCATGAGGAAAGCACCACAGGCTTTCGGAGAAACGAGAGCCAATGCGGGACAAACGGACAACCCGTTGCTCCGCTCCTTTCTCCTGCGGCCGCCCCACCGCACTTCGTAGCGCGGCCAAAGCCGGGCGGGGAGGAGGCAGAGAGCGGTGCCGCCGGGTCCGTGCCGCTTCCCAGGCACCTGCCGGCCGCGTTCTCCCCAGCAGGAGAGGGTCGCCCCGAGCACATAATGCCCCCCAGCCAAACCCGGAGCGACACCGACCGCGGAGTCCGAGCGCCCGTCGTCCTCCCGGGTAGCGCGGCCGGATGCTTTGTCTGAGAGAAGGGCTCTCTTTGTGCGGGGATGGAAAAATAGCAACAGACGAGAAACGAAACCCTCGCGCGGAGCCCTCGGGCAGCGGGAGAGGCTGCGGCCGCGAGCACGCGGGGCGGCGCGGGGGGGGAACCGGCCCCGGCCCCGGGCAGCCGCAGCCGCTGCCCCGCACCCGCCCGCCCCTCCCCGCCGCCCCGCGGCCGCCTGCCAGCCCGAGCTCCGCCGCCGTGTCTGCGGCATGGCCCCTCCTCCCCCACACCCCTTCCTTTAGGCTCCCCCCTCCCCAGCAAAGAAGAGGCCGTGCCGGTGTTTTTCCACTCAGCAGGATGGGTGATGCTCAAAGCTCCCTCATTAGACAACAGACACGAGAGGTCAGGAAGAAAGCGCTTATAAATTACCGTTTCCTCCCGCTCGGCGCTGTTAGTCGCGCCGCACCGCTCCGCCGAACGCTCCGCACGGCCGCAGGGGCGCAACGGCGCGCAGGCACCGCGGGCAGCAGCGGACGCAGGTAGCGGCACCTCCCGGGAGGGCGGGCGGTGGGGCCGGAGCGGAGCTGCGAACAAAGGGCGGCCGAGCCGAGCCGTGCTGCGCCGTGCATCTCCAAGCGGAGCGGAGCCGAACCGGGCCGGCAGCGCCCTGCCTTTGTCCGCGCTGCCTGCGCGTTCCCTTCCCCCTCCGTGTATTTATTTGCTCTTTCTTCGTCTCTTAACCTCCCCCCCCTCTCCCCAGCTGTCTCGTTACCCGGGTGGTTTTATTTCTTCCCCAGCGGTTATTTTCATCCCCCCTCACCCCTCCCCATCACCACCTTGCGTTAACTTTTTTTCGAGATAACAGTTTGTAGCGGTGTAATTACCCACTTGCTGGCGGCCCTCCAGCGCATCTACGGAGCACGTTGCTCTTTTTCGCCCTTTTTCTCTCGCCTTCCCCTCCCGCTCCCACTCTGCCCGCTGTGTTTTCTCTGGCTGACGTGCACTAACCTCGAGTTCAGAGGCTGATACAGGCGATGCCGCATCTGATGCTCGTGGGCCTACCTGGTGGGTAATACCGCTGCTGCTCTTCCTTTGCTTTTCCTCTTTTTTTATTTTATTTTATTTTATTTTTTTAATTGCTCCTTGGCGAGCTCAAATCAAAGTTGTGATGGGTTTGGGGCTGCACAGGGCAGGGTGTGGAGCTCAGTGTGGGGTGATGATTCTGGGATGAGTGGGATCCACATTTCCCCCAATGGTTTTAGGATAACGGCTGCCCATCTCACCTCTACCAGGCAGCGTGTGGGAGGATTTGCGAGGTTTCCATATAAGAACATGGGAGAATTTATTCCACACGGGCGAAGAAATGTGCGAATTGTCTGTTAGTTAGGAAACAGAAGACAAGCTGTGTTGTTCATAGGCAGCTCTGAGAGGGGCACAACTTTGTATTCAGAAACTGTAAAAGCTGATTTCGGCTGTTTAATAAGAGTTACGTTTAAAGGAAATCGCTGATGGAAAAAGTAGTGGGGGAAGATGCAGATAAATGCGAAGAAAAAGCTTCACATGTATTCCAGCACGGTTTGTGCTGAGGTGTAGAGATGGAGTTTTTGGTTCGTTCTCATTCTTTTAACCGTATTGGGAAAGGCATTAAGAAAATGCTGTGAGAGGAGCTGGTTACGTTGGAAGTGCTATTTTGGTAACTGCAGTATTTTTTTGCTTGCATGACAAAATGTTTTGTATTAGCAGGAAAGCGAGGCAGCCCTGTCTGTAGGCTTGTCAGTGTAATTTGGTGCTTGGGTGACAGTTGCTACCGGTTTAGTTTGCACGGAGTTGGGAGTAAAATAGCCCATTAAAACCTGCTGCTGTGGAGTTTGGAGGTGAGAGGCTTTGGTGGAAAGCCTTGATGTTTCTGATAGCTGGCTGTTTACTTCAGGATTAGGATTTGGGTGAGCTCCCTGCTTATTCTCATTGTCTGCTTTTGCATGAGTATTGCAGAGAGATTTCCCCGAAGGCTGTCACAGAAGCGCAGCGGTGGGGTTGCCCAGAGGTGGGTTTGGTTTGTTTTTTATTAAAGAAAAATGTGAGTAATGGAGGCAGGCAGCACCAGGACGGAGTCACTCATCCGCACACAGTGAGAGGGAGTACTGTTGAGGCTGAAGCACGAGTGTGCCTGGAGGATGTCATTGTTGCCTTGGTTAGGCTGACACTGGAAACTTTATTTTTGGCACTTTCAGAGATAGCATCTTTGTGTTTCTCTTCCTTTTCTCTGCTTTGCATGTGTTTTTTCTCTTCTCCCCATTTGCCTGCATCTCACCTTCTCTTTTCCTTCTCCTTCTCACCTGCTTTGCGTTGCTTTGAGGCAGCACCCACTGGAGGGCGACAGACACCTGTCCCCGTGCTGCCCCGCGTGGGAAGGGAGCGGAGCCCACAGCCTAGGGGACAAAAGGCCGCTTCTCGCTGTCATTTATTAACCCGCATCTTTTATGTGTGGTGCCAGAGGTGTTTGGTGCCACACTTTGCAAAAAGCGGGAGCTGACATTGGGAGGTACTGGGAAGGTGGCTGTGTGCTTGGGGTGCTGGGTGAAATAGCCTGGGGCTTTGTCTGTAGGGATTTTGGTCTAGAGTTCAGCAGAAATTCGGAACAATTCAGATGCTGCTATGTTTGGTTTTATTTTACTGTGCTGCAGCTGAGAGCGGGATGTTGTTGGCACTGACTAATTTGTAGCTTTTGGGGGGGTTGCTTGGTTGTTCCTTACATGGCAGAGGTGAAATGTATGGAGTGTGGCAGGAGGCTTTGGTGCATTTTAAATCCTGCATGGGAAAAGGTGCAGCATTGCTAGGGAAGAAAGGAAGGTACTTTGGGTTAGCTTGCTTTTTCTACACAGAGCTTGTGGAAGCCCTGTGCCTGAGCACAGCTGTTTGTAAAGCCTCAGGGATGGATTTGTCCTACAGGTGATCATTGCAGATATTTCAGTGAGTTTCCTCTTAAACCAATACTGTGCAGAACCAAGACTGAGCTACATCTTGGTGGTCTCTAGCCAAGTCCTGTTAGCTGAATGTCTCCAAAGGAACCCTCAGGCACAAGCCTTTAAACAGGCTGCTGTGTCTCTCAGGCAGTGTTGTCCACAGTACTTACCTGAACACTCCTGTTATTGGAATTTTGTCCCTTCTTGCTATTCCAGTACCCTTGGTTTGGATAGAAACTGCCTGTTCCATCAGAAGAGGTATCTCTTTGCACTGGTGCCCTACCCAGGCATTTAGTCACATTCTGAAAAGCTTATGCTCATTTGTTTCTTTTAAATTTAACCATATTACAACACATGAGAATGGATGGGAAAGCAGTGGTAGTTAAGGCCTTTTGCAGGTAATGCTTGTTTGATTGCTCATACTAATAAACTGTGGATCATTGAAGAAGTGCAGTTTTGAATAGATTAACTGCTGGGATTAGTGCATTTGACTTCTCATCATTGACTTCACTCCTGTGAAGGGGGGCTGCTTGCAGGGCTGAGTCCTCATTTGGAAGAAAAGCATGAGGATGAAAATTCAGTGATTTAACAATTGTTGAATTTCTCCCATAAATGCATACTTATTTGAATCCTCAGCTGTTGTAATGCCATGGATTTAATTGATTTGTGCTAGCTGAGTATCATCCCAAGGCATGTAAACTCTAGGCGATACTCTTTAAATTACTTACAGAATAGCTAATATTGATATAAGATAATGTGGTAGAAATTAAATGAGGGTTGCCATTGTGCATTGTTCTTCCCTTCCCCCTGAGACAGCCGTTGGAAGGTCTACCATGCTGCCAGGCTGTGATTCTGGAACCGTGTCTGGTGTCCTACAGCATCTGCTGCATTTCTGTCAGCCTCGTTTTTGTGTGCACGTCCAGATTCACACAAACAAAAAGCAGATCGGTACCGACTCTAAGCCCAAGAGCATCCACAAATCTTCCCAGCTTGGCTGCTGGAAGGGGAGAGTGAATCAAATCTGCAGCCAGCTGTAGGTGGGAAGCAGCAGGCAGATGGCATGCGGCTATGTGAGGGTGGCTGGTAAAAGCCATGTGCTCCTGGGCATGCTCATTCATTTCAGCAGTTACTGGATTTCCTGTTGTGGTTCTTTGTTGCCCAGCCCAGAGGAGTGCCTTTGGCTGCAGGACATGGGTCTGAGTGCAGCTGGTGCTTGAGTGCTGGTGTGGAGAAACGATGATGCTGTGCCAGAGTGCAGCAGTAGCACCCAGGGTTGGGGTGTGGGGTGGGTGGGCTGCACACAGGTAGGAAAGCAGTCTGTATGTAGAGCCATGGGTGTTGGTCAGCTAAAATGTTAAAAAGCTCCCTCTTTTTTTTTTTTTTTGCTTCAGATCATGTGGCATTTGCATTTTATTTCACTGCTGCAGTGTAGTTCCCTTACTCTTGAAACTGATCTAGGCAAATTTTCTGCAGTGCTTTCCATTGAATGAAAGAGATGAGAAACAATCTGATTTGACGTTGTTACTACCTTCAGTGCCTTGATGTTCTGCAAAACTAAGCTCACACAGAAGAAATTTAGAAAACTCTATGCATGCTAATGTTATAACGTGCCTGACTTGTCTTCCTGGACCCTTTTTTTTTCCTTTAAAATATTTTTTTTGCTTTTTCTTTTTTTATTTCCAAACAGGAAGAGAAAATCCACTCCGGGGAGACTTTTCTTCACGTAAGTGTTATTTATGCTTGTTTATAAAATTACAAAAGGCTTATAAAGATGATTAAAACGTTCCAATTCTGAACATTTGCCATCTGTTCATAGAAACCAACTGTAGAGCATGTAAAGATAGGCTGTAGTTATGCTGCAATAATGCTCAGCAACTGTTACCTTAAATCTATCTGTGCTGTTCTTCTGTGCATATCACTGCAGAATGTGGAAACTCTGCAGACATTTAAGTAGCATGGCTGTGAAGTTGGTGTGTAAATCCTGAAGGGGCAATATTACAGTGGTAGTGGA